TGTGTCTGTGTTAATTGGTTTCCCTTTTCTTTGTTGAAGAGGGTCTGTGCAATCCTTCTGCCTAGTCCGCCATCTTGCCCCGCCTCTGAATATAGCTGTTGCTTTTAATATGGGTTTCCTTTCCATCTCACTTTAGATATGAAATATGTACCTATCATCAGGCCTACAAAAGTACATAAATTACTGTAGTACAGTGAATTACTTGGTATGGCTTTTCTAGCCCTAGTCTTTGCAAATCCCACCAGATTACTGGGTGGGACCACACAAACAAGGTGTATAGAACTCTGATGCTGCGATTGGTTGTTTTGTCACTCTGCCAGTCTTAAAATGAGCCCTCCCAGGGGCAGAGAATGGATCTCACTTCCATTGAGAGAGAAGAGCTGGAGGTGAAGTAGAGTGAGTCCTTGGACCCGAGATCCCGGCGCTGGACCTCCTTGGCAGAGAGCACCTGGCAGAGAAACCAAGAGGCACGAGACAGAGTGATGGGCTTACCTGCCCCACAGAGTGAGAAAGCTCAGTGCCCTTGGGCAAGAGGCTTGCTGACAGAGTGGAGTGCACCTAGGTGTACCTATCAGCAGAGCTAAAAGAGCCCTGCTAAAAGAACCTGAGCAAGGCAGAGGCCAGGCCATCGGAGAGTCAGAGAGGCATGCCTGAGGGGATAGAAGAGGGGAGACTGTCCCGACTGAAGAACTGTATCCTGAGAACATTCCTGAACTTGAGTCGTAGACTCTTACTTCTCTAATAAACTCCCATAATCATGAGTATTGTCTTTTGAGTTCTGTATGGCCACTGCAATGAATTATCAAACCCAGCAGAGAAGTAGTGAATGCTGTGGGAAGGATGGTTGGCAGAAAGGCTGGAGGGTGGTGGCATGCTTGGCCTCACAGGAATAAGCCTTGGGCTTTGATGGCGAATCTGTCTCCCTCTTATGGAGTTAGAGGAAGTCAGAAAATGCCATCCCCAAGTCTTTTTTGCAATTACTCTTTTTCTCAGTAATAATTTTGTTGATTATATTTTAAAATGTGATATTATGAATACATTAACTTAAATAAAATATATTATTAAAATTGACTCCATCTTTTTCTATTTTATCTTTTTTTTACAGTAAATATATATGTAACAAACGTTTGCCATTTCAATATTTTTCACATGTACAATTCAATGTGTGGTAGTTAAGGTTATGTGTCAACTTGGCTGGGCAACTGGTTGTAGTTATAACCCATGATGAGACTGGCAAGCTCTATGGTGGAATCTGCCATGAGCAGCTGAGTAGCTACTTTAGATATGAGGTCTGCTTCCAGTATGTAAGGAGCAGCTTTGGGAATGGCCAGCAGTTTTTTGGCACTCTTGGACCCTGCCAAATGTATCCAAGTCTTCATTCAGTAGCCTGTCATACCCTGTCAATCTTAGGACTTTGTTGGACTTGAATTAGTGGCCAGCCATGTTGTTTGATAATCTCGGAACTATGCCTTTTTACTTGTCACCCTTGGGCTTGCCAGCCTCAGCAGCTGCCTGAGTGAAGAAAAGCCTCCAGCTTCAATGGGCTGGGAACAAGAAGCAGAGCTGAAGCCCAAGGTTGAGGGTCTTTCATCCAACCCTAGAGCTGGCACTTTGAACTCAGACTTCTAGCTCCTAAATTGTAGGAGAATAAACTCCTGTTTGTTAACAGAAATACTAGTGGTATTTCTGTAAGAGCAGCACGAAGTAACCAAAATACTATGCATGTCATGTTATTCAACCATCATCATTATCTGCTCCCAAATTTTCTATCACCCTTAATAGAAATTCAGTGTCCCTTAAGCAATAATCCCCCCTTTCTTGCTCCCTACCACCACCCCAGTAACCACTAATCAATTTTGTTGTTGTTAGGTGCCATCAAATTGTGTCCGACTCATAGCAACCCATGCACAGCAGAATGAAACACCACCCGGTCCTGTGCCGGCTCCATAATCCTCGCTACACTTGAGCCCATCATAGCAGCCACTGTGTCAATCCATCTCATTGATGGACTTCCCCTCTTTCATCGACCCTCCACCTTACCAAGCATGACATCCTTCTCCAGGGAATGGTCCCTTCTGACAACATGACCAAAGTAGGTGAGATCAAGTCTGGCCATTCTTGCTTCTAAGAAGCATTCCAGCTGTACTTCCTCCAGGACACATTTGTTAGTTCTTTTAGTAGTCCATGATACTTTCAGCATTCTTTACCAACACCACAACTCAAAAGCAACAATTCTTCTTCAGTCTTCCTTATTCATTGCCCAGCTCTCCCATGCATACAAGGTGATTGAAAATATCATGGCTTGTGTCAGGCACACCTTAGTCCTCAAGGAGACATCCTTGCTCCTTAGCACTTGAAAGAGGTCCCTTGCAGCCAACTTGCCCAGTGCTATACGTCATCTAATGTCCTGTTAATTCTGATACAAATCAGAATGTCCTGTAATTCTGAGTTTGTAAAAAATCTGTAATTCTATAATGTCCTGTAATTCTGAGTATGTAAAAAATCATAAATTGATTTGTCAACAAATCTCACAAGGGCACTAGTAATTAAGGTTACATCTGTGACACTTACTTGATAAAGGCTTCCATGATGCATTTGCAAACTTCCACCCGCACGCTCTCCTTTTGGAACATGTCTAGAAATGGCAGAAATTTTTCCTAAAAATAAAAAAGCACTCTAAATGCAATTTATACAAGCTATCAGAAGGAGCTGTGCCACATCTTTTCTTTGGAGGGCAAGAAAGCAGACAAGGTGCTCATGCTTCTGAGGCAGTGACAAGCAGGCTCATCTGACAGCAAAGGAGAGGACCGGAATTTTTTTTTTTTAAACTATTATTATTTAAACAAAATACAGGTCTGTGACTACATACAAATAAACCAGAGGAGGGAATGGTGCCAAAGAAGAAGGAAGGAAAAGGAAGAGCAGAGAATGTTACTATACACAGACTATCCTAGACTGGCTTCTAGGGTGCTGCATATAGGGCAACTCACACAGGGCGCTGCAGCAAACTCACAGGGACGCCACAGGATATTTTAAAGTTCTGAGGGAAGCATAGTAAATCTCAACTCTGACAGACACTAAAACAGCTACTAGCTTGAGGCAGTTCATAATTTCAGTATTAGATTACATGATAAAAACCAAGTACCACATGAATATTGATACGGAAAGGGAAATGAGGATGGTAGTGTTCAATTTGATACCAAGGTTTGAGAAGCTGGGCAGTGCCCAACAGGTGCAGACATACCACTGAAAAACAAAATAAAATCCATTGCCACAGAATTTATTCCAATTTATAGCAACCCTATAGGACAGAGTAGAAACACTCCATAGGGCTTCCAAGGCTATTATCTTTATGGAAGTAGATTGGGTCATCTTTCTCCCTTGGAGTAGCTGATGAGTTCAAACTGCTAACTTTTCATTTAGCAGCTGAACACTAAACAGTGAGCCACAGGGCTCCTTTGACATCCTATTAGCAGGTAAGGAAGTGAAAATATTTTTCTTTCACTTTATGTATATAATTTTTTTCAAATGGCTGGTTAAGTTAAGACATAAATATTTATCAATTGTTTAGACCTGACTGATATATAAAAGTAACTGCTAAGTATTTCTTTCAGCCTATGAGCATCATGAAAAATAACTGAGACAATCATTGATCCCTTGCAGCTCCTAGAATGGAGAAAATTTGGAACCTCTGACACAGAGGAAAATTTCCAAAGATAATTAAGAAGTGTTACTTACCACTGAAAAAAGAACTGAGAAATCATGGAAGTGGGCAATAACTTTCTTAATTATTGACTGTAGCTGAAAAATAAAATGAAAAAATTACATCTTATTTAATGAAATTTGGAGATTAAATCAAGCCTCTCCCATAATTTGCAGTTACAATCATAATAAGGTAACCTGGACTGCTCAACAGAAAGAGAATTATGGTTAGAATAGGTCTTAGTCAGAAGACATACATCTTCATCTAGTTTTGGGGAAACAACTTCTTATCCTCAGCCTCAGTTTCCTCATCTATAAAATGGAGTCCAAAGAAGTACCTAGCTCATTAGGCCTTTGTGAGAATTACTTATTTCTTCACAAATGAAGTGCCTACATAAATAACTCATCCATACATATAACATGCAGCATAGCACACTTATAAAAATAGCACAGGAGGGATTTGTATGGATTTTGACTCATAGCGACCCTCTGGGTTTCTGAGGCAGTAAATCTTTATGGAAGTAGATTGCCCAGTCTTCCTTCCACAATATAAATAACTTGTCCACACATATAACATACAGCACAGTGCACTTACAAAAACAGCACAGGAGGGATTTGTGCAGTTGGCAAAATAACATACAACACATGCGTTATTTGTGTAAAAATACAGTAGATGGTATATATGAAGTGCTTAGAGAGCAAGGCCTAGCCCTCAGAAAGCTACCCATTAATGCCAACTATTATTATTATTATTCTGTTGTGGTTGTTGTTAGGTGCCATCAAGTCGTCTCTGACTCATAGTGACCCTATGCACAGCAGAACAAAACACCGCCCAGTCCTGAGTCAGCTCCATGATTCATGCTATAATTGAGCCCATTGCCGCTGCCACCATGTCAATACATCTCGTTGAGGGCCTTCCCCTCTTTCATTGACCCTCCACCTTACCAAGTATGACATCCTTCTCCACAGAATGGTCCCTTCTGACAAAATGACCAAAGTAGGTGAGATGAAGTCTAACCATTCTCAACTCCAAGGAGCATTCCAGCTGTACTTCCTCCAGAACAGACCAGTTAATTCTTTTAGCACTCCACAGTACTTTCAGCATTCTTTGCCAACACCACAGCTCAAAAGCATCAACTCTTCTTCAGTCCTCCATATTCATTGTCCAGCACTCACATGCATATGAGGCGATTCAAAATACCATGGCTTGTGGTATTTAGTCCTTTAGTCCTCAAGGAGACATTTTTGCTCTTCAGCATTTGAAAGAGGTTCTTTGCAGCCAATTTGCCCAGTGCTATATGTTGTCTGATGTCCTGACTGCTGCTTCCATTGGTGTCAATTGTAGAACTAAGCAATGTGAAGTCTTTGCCAATTTCAATCTTTTCTCCATTTATCGTAATGCTGCTTATAGGTCCAATTGTAAAGATTTTTGTTTTCTTCATATTGAGATGTAATCCATACTGTAGACTGTGTTCTTCAATCTTCATCAGTAAGTACTTCAAGTCATCCTCACTTTCAGCGAGCAAAGTTGTGTCGTCAGCATATCACAGGTTGTTAATGATTCTTCCTCCAATCCTGATGCCACGTTCTTCTTCACATAGTCCAGCCTCTCGGATTATTTGCTCAGCATACAGATTGAATAAGTATGGTGAAAGGATACAACCCTAAAACACTCCCTTCTTGATTTTAAACCAGGCAGTGTTCCCTTTTTCTGTTTGAACAACAGCGTCTTGGTCTATATACAGGTTCCTCATGAATACAATTAAGTGTTCTGGAATTCCCATTCTCAATGTTACACACAATTTCTTAAGATCCACACAATCAAATGCTTTTTGCATAGTCACTAAAACACAAGTAAACATCTTACTGGTATTCTTTGCTTTGAGCCAAGATCCATCTGACATCAGCAATGGTAACCCTCATTCTACATCCTCTTCTGAAACCAGCTTGTATTTCTGGAAGTTCTCTGTCAATATACTGCTGTAACTGTTTTTGAATTATCTTCAGTAAGATTTTACTTGCATGCGATATTAATGATATTGTTCGATAACTTCCACATTCTGTGGGATCACCTTTCTTTGGAATGGGTACAAACATGGATCTCTTCCAGTCAGTTCACCAAGTAGCTGTCTTCCAAATCTCTCGGCATAACCAAGTGAGTGCCTCTAGTGTTTGTTGAAACATCTCAATGGGTATTCAATTCCTGGAGCCTTGTTCTTCGCCAATTCTTTCAGTGCAGCTTTGACTTCTTCTTTCAATATCATTGGTTCTTGAACATATGCCACCTCCCAAAATGGATGAAGACTGACCAGTTCTTTTTGGTACAGTGACTCTGTGTAGTCCTTCCATCTTCTTTTGATGTTTCCTGTATCATTCAATATTTTGCCCATAGAATCTTTCAATATTGCAACTCGAGGCTTAAATTATTTCCTCAGTTCTTTCAGCTTGAGAAATGCCGAGTGTGTTCTTCCCTTTTGGCTTTCTAACTCCAACTCTTCGCACATTTCATTATAGTTATTGGCTTTGTCTGCTGGAGCTGCTCTTTGAAATATTCTGTTCAGCTCTTTTATCTTGTCATTTTTCCATTTGCTTTAGCTACTCTTCGCTCAAGGGCAAATTTCAGAATCTCTTCTCACACCCATTTCGGTCTTTTCTTCCTCGTCTTTTTCATGGCCTTTTGCTTTCTTCATGGATGATGCCCTTGATGTCATCCCATAATTCTGGTTTTCAGTCATTGGTGTTCAAAGAATCAAATCTATTCTTTAGATGGTCTCTAAATTCAGGAGGGATATATTCAAGGTCACATTTTGGCTCTTGTGGACTTGTTTTAATTGTCTTCACCTTCAAGTTGAACTTGCAAATGAGCAGTTGATTGTTCCACAATCAGCTCCTGGCCTGGATTTGGCTAAAGATATTGAGCTTTTCCACCACCTCTTGCCACAGATGTAGTCAATCTGATTTCTGTGTACTCCATCTGGCAAAGTCCACATATATAGCCGCTGTTTATGTTGTTGAAAAAAGTTATTTGCAATGAATAAATCATTGGTCTTGCAAAATTCTATCATGCGATCTCCATCATTATTTCTGTCACCAAGACCAAATTTTCCAACAATCGGTGACTCTTTCATTTCCAACTTTTGCATTTGAATCACCAGTGATAAGCAACACATCTTGATTGCATGTTCGGTCAATTTCAGACTGTAGAAGTTGTTAAAAATCTTCAATTTCCTAATCTTTGGCTTTGGTGGTTGGTGCATAAATTTGAATAATAGTAGTATTAATGGATCTTCCTTGTAGACCTATGGATATTATCCTATCACTGGCAGCACTGTACTTCAAGACAGATCTTGATATATCCTTTGTGATGATGAATGCCATGCCATTCCTCTTCAATTTGTCATTCCCAGCATAGTAGATCATACATATGGTTGTCTGATTTAAAATGGCCAAAACCGGTCCATTTCAGTTCACTAATGCCCAGGATATCAGTCTTTATGCGTTCCATTCCATTTTTGACAACTTCTAATTTTCCTAAATTCATACTTTGTACATTCCATGTTCCTATTATTAATGGATATTTGCAGCTGTTTCTCCTCAATTTGAGTCATGCCACGTCAGCACAGGGAGGTCCTGAAAGACTTACTTTATACATATCACTAAGGCTGGTTCAACTGTGATGAGGTGCCTCTCTCCCAGTCCTATATTGAGTGCCTTCCAACCCAAGTGACTCGTCTTCCTGCACTGTGTTGGATGATGTTTCCAAGCTATTCATAAAATTTCCCAGTAATATATCAGACAGTGTTTCTCTGCTATTCATAAGGCTTTCCCTGCCCAGTTTTTGAGAAGTGGATGGCCTCCTCCTTCTTCCTAGTCTGTCTTAGTCTGTAAGCTGCATTGAAACCTGTGCACCATGTGCAACTCTGCTGGCGTCTGAAACACCAGTGCCACAGCCTCAAGCCTCACAGCAACGTACAAGCCCCACAGGATGACAAACTGACAGACAAATTTGTCTCTCTTAGCTGTTGGAAACCTCTGCACCCTTCTCTTCCCTAATTCCTACTTGGAACCTGCCACTCTGTGGTCCCCAGCTGCTCCCTCCTTTTCCTGCCTCTAGGAGGCTTGGGGCCTAGGCTTGCTTCTCGCCCCTTTTTACCAGAATATCATGCTGCTCCCAAGGTCCCCAAGACCACTCCTGCTCCCTCCCTCTCCTGGCTCTAGGGGGCTTGGGACCTAGCCTTGCTTCCTGCCCCTTTTTACCTGGAGATCCTGCCACTCCTATTATTCTAGGAGTCAGCAAATTTCTTCTGTAAAGGGTTACAGTCTGTCACAACTACTCAGCTCTGTTCTTTAGTGTAAAATCAGCCATAGATATCATATAAATGAATGAGCATGGCTGTGTTCCAATAAAACTTTATTTATAAAAACAGATGGGGGCTGGATATGGCTGAAAGGCTGTAGTCTACCAAGCACTATTCTAGCCCAATGCAGCCATGTGCTGGTTGAGTACTTCAGTGGGAAAACTGGACCAGGTCTGCTGCAAATCAAATGCCACAGTGGCATTGTTCAGAGGCAGTGGTATAGTCTGTGAAGTGTGCCCAGATATTTGGATACTGATGTCCACTATCCTTCACCCTGAGACATGCATTCCTGACTAAAAGGATAATAGGACCCTGGCTGAGGATACTCAAGGAGTGGATTTCCCAAATAAAATATAAACTCCTGCTTTGGGTTGCTGTCAAGAAGAAAAAACTTACTAACAAGTGCTTTGCTTATTCTGAAATCACTGTTATTTAAATCATTTGCAAAGAAAATTTCTCGTGTTCTACATAACAGACTGTTACCACGTATAAATTCCATTTCATAATTAAGTAGCTTACTAATTAGGCAGTGAAGCAAAAGACTAATTGAATCTCAAGGTTTCTTGACAAACACTGCTCCAAGGCAGGACATCATGAGCCGTAATACTTGGTTAATTTAAGATAGTTCCTAAAATCTCAAAGTAGTTCATCCATTTAGACTGGGGAAATTTTTAAATATTTAAGTACAGTTGCATATAGTACATTGCCTAATTTAGAAAGACAGATTTTTCCTTAACATTTCATTATGAAGATGCTAATTTTCAAAGAAAATTAGAAGAATTATGCAATAAACGTCCATGTAACCACCACTTACATTCTACAATTGTTAATAATTTACAACATTTGCATTATCTCATCTAAACCAAACCAAACTCACTGCTGTCGAGTTGATTGCTACTCACAGCGAACCCTCCTTGGGTTTCTGAGGTGGTATCTCTACAGAAATAGACTGCCCAGTCTTCCCTCCAACAAGTGGCTGGTGGGTTTGAACCATCAGCCTTCTGGTTAGCAGTCAAGTGCCTTAGGCACTATGCCACAAGGGCCTTTAATATTATTAATATCATTATTAATACCTTTTAATAATGACAGAATTTGTAAATTTAAAATCCAAAAACACACTTTTAACTTTTGAGTTTGTAAGTTTCAAATTTGCATAGTACAGAGAACTCCAATATCCTCTTTATCAAAATTCACCATTTTCTTACATTTTGCCAAATATACTTTATCTTTCTCTTCACGTTGTCGTTGTGTTGTTATGTGCCGTCGAGTTGGACCCAACTCATAGCGACCCCTCCTTGGGTTTCTGAGGCAGTATCACTATGGAAGTAGATTGTCCCATCTTCCTTCTGAGGAGGCTGCTAGGTTTGAATCACCAGCCTTCTGGTTAGCAGTCAAATGCCTTAGGCCCTACGCTACACTTTTTTTTTTCTCTAAGACCCTACATAATGTCCTTCACTCCTAAATACCTCAGTCTGTATTCCCCAAGAACAAAGATATCTTTGACATTTCCATTGTACTCTTATCAGAAACCCAAGGAGGGGTCCTTATGAGTCATCCCACTCGATGGCACATAACAACAACAACAGCAACAACTTATCCAGTCCAGGAAAGTGAACATTGACATAATACTGTAATCTGGGAGCTCTGGTAGCATAGTGCCTAAGGCACTTGACTGCTAAACAGAAGGCTGGCGGTTCAAATCCACCAGCCACTCCTCAGAAGGTTGGGCAATTTACTTCCGTAGTGATACTGCCTAAAACCCAAGGAGGGGTCAGTCGGGTCCGACTCAATGGCACACAACAACAACAACAACACTGTAATCTATCATCCCATTCCAATTTGTCAACTGTCTCAATGAATTAAATCCTTTATAGCATTATTTTTTTCCTCCCTTCAGTTTACGACCAGCCCAGGATGGTGCACTGCATTTTGTGTTTATGTCTCTTTACTATGCATCCTTTTGTAGCAGTTGCTCATCCTTTCTTTGTCTTTCGTGATACTGACATTTTTGAAGAATGTAGTTGTCTTTACTTGCCTATGACTCTGCTACAACTCATGGCAACCTTATGTGTAACAAAATGTTGCCTGGTCCTGGGAAATCTTCATAATCTTTGTTTATTTCACCCCCATTATTGAGGCTATTGTGTCATCCCAGCTGAGGGAGGATTTCCCCCATTTTCACTGGCCCTCTACTTTACCTAAAACCATGTCCTTTTCTAATGACTGGTCTTTCCTGATGACATACCCAAAGTAAGCTAACAAAGTCTTCCATCCTTTCTTCCAAGGTATATTCCAGTTCTATTTCTTCTAACTGATGCATTCATTCTTCTGGTGGTGGTGTTGTTGTTGTATGCCGTCGAGTCGGCCCCAACTCATAGCGACCCCTCCTTGGGTTTCCGAGGCAGTATCACTACAGAAGTAGGATTGCCCAACCTTCCTTCCGAGGAGTGGCTGTTGGGTTTGAACCGCCAGCCTTCTGGTTAGCAGTCAACTTCCTTAGGCACTATGCTACCAGAGCTCCTCATTCTTCTGGTAGTCCTGGTATATTCAATATTCTTTGCCAATACCACAATTCAAATGCATTAATCCTTTTTCTGTCTTCTTTTTCCATTGTCCAGTTTTTACAAATATTTGAGTTGACTGAAAAGACCATAGCTTGGGTAAATGCACCTTGGATGTCAAAGTGACAGCTTTTTAACACTATAGAGAGATCTTTTGCAGCACATTTGTCCAATGTAGTATTTCATTTCTTGACTGCTGCTTTCATGGTGCTGATTGTTGACCAAAGAAGAATGAAATCCTGGACAACTTCAAATTTTTCTCTGTTTTTATGATGCTGTTTGTTGTGAGAATTTTCATTCTCTTTACATTCAGGTATAATCCATACTGAAGGCTGTGGTCTTTTACCTTCATCAGTAAGTGCAAGGGTGTATCATCTGCATATCACAGATTATTAAGGAGTCTCCCTCCAATCCTGACGCCATGTTCTTCTTCATACAATCCAGCTTCTTAGTTTATATGTTCAACATACAAAGTGAATAAGTAAGATGAAATAAGTAAGCCTTGCCACAGACCTTTTGAAGAATACAGGCCAATAATTTTATAGAACACTTCTCAGATTGGGCATGTCTGAAGCTTTCTTATGATTAAATTCTAGTGATTTTTCTTCCTTCAGTTAACATCTGCTCTATGGAAAGACCTAGTGAGATAGGCAAATATCTTCTTTGTCCTCAAACTTTCCCCTTAGACTGAGGATTCTTGCCTGACCTAGTCTTTAGCTGATGGCTGTACAATGATGAGTTTTAAACGCCACCATTTCTTCCACACCTCTCAATCAGTGTAAGGTAGAACTACCTCCTTCCACCTTGTCTCTCATCTATCTTTATTGACTTACCATCAAGACGGACTCATGAATTCCTATTTTATTCAATGGATTATAATCCAATATCATCCTTATTTATTGTGATGCTCAAACCGTCCCAGTGGGAGTCTAGGAGAGCCCTTCAAACTGCTTCTGGGTCCTTTCACATGTCCCCGTCAGTTTTGTGAGCATTTCCCTATCTTTCAAGACACAAAAAATGTTCCAGGCTTATCATGTCCCTTCCCTGTCTCAGCCCTGAAGTTAAGCCTTTTCTCCACAGGCCCAGGCTGCTTTATTTTCTTGATGTGACCCTCATGTGGGACAAGAGGCTCACTACTGATATGGGCAACTGCCCTGAGCACAGACTGGCCCCACTTATCTTTTATAAGTTGCTTTTGGATGTGAAATAATTGCTTTTTTTTTTTTTCCTTATAATTTCTCTCTCTTAGGAATAGATTGCTTTAAAATCTTTATGTTACTCAAAGGTTTCAATTAACTGGGTCTCTAAAAGTCATGATCTTACTAAATATTACCTAACAAAAATTGTCATACACATTAGTTTTCATATGTGTCTGAGGTCTTTATAAGCCACAATGGTACAACTCACCCCCACTATACTCTATATTCATTCAACAATATTTACTCAGAGCCCACTATCCACCAAGCCCAAGCCATGACCATGTAGTTTTAATCACACATGGTGGAAAGTAAGAGTCAGTGGCTGCTCAATAAATAATAATGATGAACCATTTTAATTAGCAAGTGGTGAAAAATTCTTAAACTAGCAGAATGTAAAAATTATAAAATTATTGTAAGAATATATAACTAATCTTATTTATACTAAGTGAAGTCCAAAATCAATCTCAGAACATCATGTTATTAAATAAATAAAAAATAAAATCTTTATTAGGTCAAAAGCTACTTTACAGTAAGGGATTCTATACTGAAGTACTAGAAAAACTGTTCTAAAGGACATTATTAAGTGAACTGATAGTACTGGAATATGGATAGTGGAATAAGTAATAGTAGTGTATTGATGTTAAACTCGCTAAAGTTGGTAACTGAACTATGGTTATGTAGGAGAATGTTCTTATTCTTAGGAAATATTCATCGATGTATTTAGAGGTAAAGCACATGATGTATGCAATGTATTCTCAAATGATTTAGAAAAACATTTATATACATATGTGTATATATAAAAGGAAAAAACCAAACTCACTGCCATTGAATGGATTTGACTCATAGTGACCCCTCCTTGGGTTTCCGAGGTGGTATCTCTGCAGAAGTAGATTGCCCAACCTTCCTGCTGAGGAGTGGCTAGTGGGTTTGAACCACAGCCTTCTGGTTAGCTGTCAATCCAGAGTTCACACATATGTGTATACATACATATATTTATACACATACATATACAAAATAATTGTAAACCAAATATGGCAAAATGTTAACAGTAGGTGAATCTGTGTGAAGGGTGTATGTACTTCGTACTAGTTTTACTATTCTTTCAACTATTCTTTTTCTATATATGGGAATTTATTTCTGAATGAAAAATCAGTTTAACCAAAAAATACTAAGTACCTTACTTACTAGTAATGACAATGTTAATGATGCTAATTTGGTGTTTACCATAGGCCAAGCAACTTCCCATATCACATTGTACTTAATCCTCACAACTCTGAGGGTAAGACTATTACTATCCCCATTTAAACTTGCTGCCATCAAGTTGATTGCAATTCATTGCAACCCCCCTTGGATTTCCAAGGCTATAAATCTTTATGGAAATAGATTGCCTCATCTCCCTCCTGTGGAACAGCTGGTGGGTTTGAACTGCTGACTTTCCGGTTAGCAGCGAAATGCCTCATCTACTATGCCACCAGAGGTTCTTATAGGAGGTGAGAAATCTCAGGCACAGCAAGGGTAAGTAACAGATCAAAAGGTATATGGCTTGGATATGGCAGAGCTAAGATTCAAACCCCAGATTATATGACTTTATGGCCTGACCCATGGAACATGCCTAATTAATTTAACAGAATAAACATCTTAACAGCGCTGAAATGAGAAATCTGCACCTGTTACCTGTGGGTAGGAATCTTCAAATGCACGATCTGGAGTCATGTGCTTGATGACATCAGCTAAAACAGTATTCACCTCTCGTTTCTACATAGGGAAAAGATATGAAGCCTCTATTAAACACTGCCTTGTAGTTGTTAACCACTTATCAAGGGAAAAGACTAACATGTTTAGAACATATCACACAACTTGCAGGAAATGGTTTCAGATATTCTGCTGGAAATCATATAAAAGGAGAACTCCCACCATATCACTGGTCTGGCACATCATAGTCCTAAACACGCCTACATCTGTACCAAGTCAGGGCTGAGACACTGTTTGCAAAGGTACTCAGGGTTTACACTATTCCTGCTCTACCTGATGTTGTTGTTAGTTGCCACTGAGCTGACTTTGACTCGTGGCAACCCCATGTTGCAGAGCAGACCGTTCAGAAGTAGATCACCAGGGCTTCCAAGGTATTTCTTCACGAGTTCAAACTACCAGGCTTTGGGCTAGTAGTCAGAGGTAATCATTTGTGTCACCCAGGGACTCCTGCTTTCCCTAAGTGGGGGTAAAACTAGCCATGCTGCTTTCTCCCTGCCTATCCCAGGCCCTCCTTCAAGGGCTATGAGAGACAGTGAAGCATAGACTCAGGTCCCCATAAGTCATGTGACCCAAATGCTCACTTCAGTTTTGTGATCCACATCAGAGACAGATGAACTATGGTAGAAATCTAGCCTGCTGCCTGTTTTGTATGGTTGTGAACTAAGAATGGTTTCCATGTTTTTTAATGGTTGAAAGAAAAATTAAACAAGAATCATTTTGTGACAGCAAATATTATGAGACTCAAATTTCAGTGTCCATAAATGAAGTCTTACTGGAACACAGTTATAATCACTCAATTCTCACCTTTCCTGTACAAACTGTACATCAGAGTAACTGAAGTGCCAACATTGGGAGTTTCTCTTTATATAAGTATTCCAGTTAATAAAGAAAGGATGATAAATTTAGAATATCACCATTTTGCAACCCCAGCTAAGTTATAAGATCCAGGCAATAGTTTTAGTGGCTGCTCATGTCATAGAGAAACAACCAGATGCCGTTACCCTCCCAGGACAAGCACCATACCCCCATCTTGGTGTGTCAGAGCCCTGTCAAAAAATCAACCTAGAGCAGATTCTCTCTCTAGAATGAACTGCCAATTTATAGGGAACACTGGAAACAGAGGGACAAGTTAAACACCATCATGGGGATGCAATCAGCACAATCCAGACTGGGAAACTATAGGACAAATGACTAAAACTCTTCAACAAATAAACTGTAAGTGAACAATACTGAGTGAGAGAAAATGTAGATTTTAAAAAAACTTAAGGAAGTTTATCAACTACAATGAATGGGCCTTATTTTAACATTGATTTGAAAAGATAAACTTAAAAAGAGAGAGAAAAAACCAGGAGATTTGAACATTGACTGGTTATTTAATGATATTAATTATTTTTTTAGTTGGCATAAGATTATTGGGATTGTATTTCAAAAAGAGCAATCCTTATATTTTAGAAATATATACTAAAATACTTACAGATAAAAAGGTATGTCTAGGATTTGCTCTAAAATAATGCATGGTGGAGGAAGTGGCAGAGATATTCAGAAACAAAACTGGCTGTAAGTGGATAATCCTTGGGTGATGGGTACAGAGGAGAGCATATGTTTGACATTTTCCATAATGAAAAGTGGAAAAAATGACAAAAGAAACAAAATCAATGAGCTCAACATATACTATTCTTCCATTTATATAATATTCAAAATGAGGTGAAACTAATTTCTGGTGTTAGATCAGGATAGGGGTTAACCTTCAACTAACCAAAGGCTGGGGTTGTGCCTGGGAGAAGTGAAGGGGCTTCTGAGGGGCTTGACATTTCCTATTTCTTGATCTGGACAGTGATTACATGGGTGTGTGTTGTGAAAATTCTTTAACAGTACACTTCTGGTATGTGCACTTTTCTGTGAGTATGCTATACTTCAATTTTTAAAAGTTCATTAAAATATGTAGCTTTGACAATGGGAACTGGACTTTGCTCTAACTGCTTCTAAAGTCCTTGCTTGTTGACAGGTCCAGTATTTCTCAAACTGGCTTTCTACCGTATACCTAGGAAAAGAAATGTTTGTGTGTTCAGGGATATGAATTGCACATAAGTCAAATAGCTTTAGAAATGCTGCTGATGAGACTCCCTTGCAAAGTGGCAATACATTTCAGCACCTAAGCATCTGAGGTATTCTATGGTGGAAAAAAAACTACAATACCATGTAACACAGCATTTCCATGTTTATATGAGAGCATGGAGCATTTTTGTTGTAGTACAATGCTTCATCACACTCTACTATAAAGGAGGTAATTTCTATAAATTATAAGAAAAATCACCATCATAAAATATCTAAATGCCTAAAGAAACTCATTATTATAAACATCAAAAACAAAATACAGTTCTTTCAAACACAATGCCACAGCCACGTACCGTAAAATGCTTGCAGGTGTATTCTACCCACACGTCAGCACCATTGATGTAGTCCTACAAAGAACAAGTAAAAACTTCTTTACAATAAGGACAACGTGTTTCACAAAGTCCCCTCAAAGGCTGGGACACTGGAAAGAGTTAACAAGAAACAGGAATTTCTTGAGTGGTTCATCTACAGGAAATTCTGGCCGACTGATTATTGTTACAGGGAGAAGCAAGTTATATATAAAAAAGTGTAAGTTATAAATGTCCAGACTGACTGGACCGCTGAGACTAGAGGACTCCCCGAGACTATCACCCTGAGCTATTCTTCAGTTCAGAAACAACATCCTGAAGTCAGCTTTTAGCTAAAGAACAGATTGGCTCCTGAAATAAAGATTACCCATGAGTACTGCGCATCTTTAAAAAAATCATCCATATGAGACCGAATTGTCAAGAATTACTCTAAAGCAAAGATGAAAGAGTAGGTGAATAGGGAAACTAGATTACTGGAAATGAAACATCCAGAATTAAATTAATGAGAATGCTGACACACTGTGAAAAATAGAACCAACATCACTTAACAATTTTTGTAGCAATTGCTAAATGGAAGCCTACTTTGCTGTGTGTGTGTAAACTTCCACCCAAAACACAGTATTATTTTAAATAAATATATAAATAAGTTGCCTGAAACTATTGAGTCTGTCATTCCAGAACTGCCACGTGGGCCAAGGTGGAAATCTGGGTAGCTCTATCAAGCTGAGAGAGTTCGAGGAGTTCTCTAAGGACAGGCCTCTCCAGATAACAATGAGGAACTCTTGCCACATCTCAGTGGAGAAACAGATGCGGGACCTGGCTGAAAACTTAAGCTTTGCTTAAGAGTGATTCTGCATGTTCTGAGTAAAATCAGGCTTCCCACCATTAAGAAAACATTTCCTATCGAAAGGTGATGTATTTATGTTACAAAAGCCTAACAATTTAAGGTAAGAAACTGTCTCAGAATCAAGCGGGGAGGCCCATGAGAGATAATGAGGGTTTACTACAAAGATGACAATGACCAGCTTAGTAAGGCTGCCTGACCAAGCAAACACCTAACTAGGAAAAAATCAGTCAAGGAAAAACGTAGCAACCAGTGCTCCCTCTCTTTTCTTTCTCTACCTGTTTTGTTTTGGAAGTTTAAAGGAAAGAAAGAGCGAATTGAGGGAAAAAAGAAAACAGTTATTTCATTCACACGGGAAAAGTCAGGAATACTACAAGGTCTGAATGGGATGCTAAGAAGGTAAACTGAGTGAGGTGAGTGTTAAGTTACAGACTAAAGAAAACTTTTAATATGGGCTTTTACTGCAAGACTACTTTGAAGCAATGAAGTACAGAAAATTTAAACCAAACCTGTTGCCTTCCAGTCAAGTCTAACAACCCTATAGGACAAAATATAACTTGTCCATAGTGTTTCCAGGGAGCTTTAGCAGCATAGTGCCTAAGGCATGTGACTGCTAACCACAAACCTGGTGGTTCAAACCCGGTGGTTCAAACCCACCAGCCACTCCTGGGAAGAAAACTGGGCAATCAGCTTCCAACAGATACCGCCTTGGAAAACCAAGGAAGGGTTGCTATGAGTTGGATT